AAGGGCTAGGCTAGGCAAGGCAGGGCAGGGTACAGCAGAGAGAGGTTTTCTCGTCCGTCTCTTCCAGGCCTTCCAGATGTGCTGGACAGATACTCCCATCATGCCCAGCCGGCAGGATGGGGAGGATGGGCATTGCAGTCCAGCACATCTGGACAGTCCCATCTCTGGGAAAGATTGCTTTTGGGTGACATCTAAGCTGCTCACAGATGCACAGAAGGGAATTTTCTTTGGACAGTAGCTGAGCTCCTATCAGAGTCTATTACTTGGTCCTTAAAAAAAAAATTCCTTCTTTAAAAAAATCCACCAAAAATATTATCTAGTCATTGGGAAGTATAGAAATTAATTAACTAGTTCGTTAAAAGAACAATAAACTTTAAAGCCCAGCCCTTGCATTCTGAGCAGCAAAGGGTGGCTGGAACATATTGCCAAATTAATGACCCACAATGCCTGGTGTAGCACCACCCTGGGAAATCGCGGTGCAGCTCAGCCAGCCGCCTGGCGCAGCTTGCAGAGTTGCTCAGCTATGCCCTAGAAAGTCACTAAAAGTCACTGCCTGACTGCTGGAGGTCAGGGGGAGAACACCAGCTGCAGTTCTACTCTGCTTGCAAAGCAAAGGATTGCCTGTCCTCATTTACTTCCCTGCAAATTTAAACCACACACTGCCCTGCGTCCTCCTGGCCTGCCATGTTGGCCCTGCCCTCAGATGCTTTGGGTAGTGTTTCCACCAGGTGTATCCTCATCAGAGCCCTCCTGAGAAGGCAGCCCTCCTGCAAGCTTTTCCCAAGCCCTGCTCCCTTCCTTGCCTCTCCTGCCTTCCTGGAAAACAGAGACACCTCTCCTGTGTCCCCTTACATCTTAGCTGCGGTTACCTTGGCGACACGCTGTGCACCACCTGCCCACTCCTGGGACCCCAAACGTGTCATAACCTATCATTAGCCGGCGTTAGGAAGTGGAAATCATTCCCCACTGGAGGGATCTCTCATTAGAGCAAATCAACAAGGCGTCCCGAAAACAGAGGGTGAGGGTTAGGGATGACGTGGCAAGCGCACTGGATGAGAGCGCATGCGCCAGCCCCACATCCATGCAAGGGGCCGGGTTCGGTTCCCAGGGAGGCTGGCAGCCTGGATGACTCTGGACATCCTCTGCCAGTCCTCGGGGTAGGGAACCAGCGGGTCCCTGGACGCGGCTGGGCTGCAACGCCCATCACCCAGTATCGGTCCTGCTGGCTGGGGCGGAGGGGAGCTGCAGCCCAACAATATCTGGAGGGCTGCAAGCAGCCCATCCAACGCACCAGGCAGCCTCTTTTCCCCAGGTGTCTTCAAACTACTTCTGTCTGGGACTGATGGGAATTTCCATCCCCAAAACCTGGAGGGCACTGGGCTGGTGCGGCTGAGCTTGATGGACTCCAGGTCTGGCCCGATATCAGGTAGACAGAGGTCTCTAAGTCTCCGCCTTGTCGCACGCCCATCTGGAGGCCTGTGTCCCTCCCTTGCCGGCCGCATCGCTTTCCCAGCCCTGCACGGACAGGTTTGACCTGCCATGGGGGAGCGGCAAAACCCAGAGGGAGGCTCTGCTTTGCAAGTCCCCTTAAAGGGAAGGAAAACGGCAGGGATGCAAGCCAGGATCATGCACAACAGCTTTGCCCATTTTGTGCACACTGCCATTGTAGGAGAGACCACCACAGTGAGGAATTCCTGGGCTGGCCACCTGCAAAATTGAAAAGAAACCATTCGTTCAAAATGTACTGAGAGAGAGAGAAATGCACATGTGCAGATTGTATGCAGAGGTGTGTCCTGAGAGCCTGGCTCGTGAAGATTTAAGGGCCTGCAAAGCTCAGCCGACTCGGCCTCGCAAGGCCTGCCGCAGTCTGAAATTTGCCAGACTGGAGGCAAAGCATGCTGTGGAGCCACAGGTTCCTCCAGGGGCAGCGGTGGGGCTCATCAAACCCTTTCAAGGGGCCGCATGGCACCAAATGACGCCACACTGGGCCCTGGAGAGGAACTTAGGCCACTATGCAGCAAGAACCCAGGGCTCCAGTCTCCTGAGTCTCATTTACAAGGAAGAGGCGAGATGGGGCTCTCTTATGCCCCCCCCCCCGCTGGGGTGGAGTTAAAAGAGTCCTTCCTCACTGGACGATGAACCAGAGCAGCCCCACCTCACTTCTCTCTGTGTGAAATCGACAGAGCTGCTCCAGAGACGGCAAAGCCTGAAAAATCTTGCTGCTAATGGTAACTCTGGATGCCGCAGTTTGCCTGCTGGACAAGAGCTCGTGGTGCCCAGCCCATGGAGGGCTCGTTTCCCTTTAATTGGCAAGAAAGTGGGGGGAAATTCCAGGAGACTTGCAGCTGGGAGGGATTTTTGCCTCTCTTTCCACAGGCTGCACAGCCTTCTGACCCCGCAGGGAAGTCGGGCAGGGAAGCTTTTCCTAAGCACCTTTGCAGAATACATTGGTGTGCAATGTGTGTGGTCTGTATTTCTAGGAGCATCAAGGTTTGGAGACCTTCTTCCCTACAGCCCCCTCCAGACAAAAAGACTTCCATCAATACCAGTAGAAAGATACCTCAACCTTTAAGTGCCCTGCTTTTAGGACGAGGATAAGGAAGACTAGAGGAAAGACCTCGCAGAGTGCCCAAATTCCTTGGAGGAAAGTCAGTATAGAAACATGGATAAATCCAGGCACATTTTTCTCCAAACTGACCTGCCCGCTTTATCTCTTGCAAGCTCCAGCTTCCCCTTGCTGCAACTGCTGGAGGAGGAAAGAAACCACAGGGCAGCCTTAATTCCCGTATTTTTTCTGGCCAGCTATAGCTGTGGGGATCTGGGCAAAGCCGAGCAAGTTCAGATTTCAAGGTTTCTTGCCACTCAGTAGGATTCATGGAGCTCCCTGCTGTTGCCAACTCGTCCTTCCTTGGGCACTCAGGGTAGGGTGTGTGACTTTCTCTTCCCCATTATCTGCACAAAACCCCTGTGAAGTAGGCAAAGCGGAGAGGGACTGGCCCAGAGCCCTCTGGTGAGCCGCATCAGCTTGTCTGGGCTTGAACCCGGGTCACCCCCGTTCTAATCTGACCCCTGATACACCACACGGTCCTGAGAGGGAGGGAAGTGGTAGAACAATTCCTTGCCCTGCTGCTTCTGGGAGAATCTAGGCAGAGCCGGTGCCGCTTCTCTTCCACTTCCCTTAAATCCTGTGGTCAAGAATGGAAAATGGAGACTAGGCGCTCTGGTGAAGATCTTATCATAACGTTGCTGTCGACAAATCTGCAGTATGCTAGGACACCACGGAAAACCCCAAATGCTGCTCCCCCAGAAGCCCTCTTTGCATTTCAGGGGGTCATGGTTTATATGGTTGCAGCGGTTTATAAGCCACCCGTGGGAGGCATAAAAACCACCCCCTGGGAAGTGGGGAGGGGCTCAGATGGCATACCAACCCCCCCGCGCACACACACCGGCTTAGCAAGTTGCGTGAATGCCTGCTGGTACCTCAGAAGCCAGGCAGCCAACCCATAGAAACCTGGGGGCTTTAGTTTCTTGCTTTTCTCTCCAGCTTGCAGAATTCAACTTGTAGTAACATAATTATGCAGAACAAGATCAGTTATGTGATTTTCCTTAATTTATGCATAACTCCGCTTACTCAGGCACTGTATTTTGGGCAGCTCTAATGTACAAAATCAGGTCTATATAATTCAGTATCAAGATGCATAAATTAATATTCAACATTGAGTTATCTAGATTTTTTTAAAAAAGAAAACTTCTATGATACAGGGAGTTCAGGCATCACCCCCACCCCCGCCTGCCGAGACCATAAAGTGACAAGGAACAGATGCTCACAGAGAAAGAAAAAGTTCCATCCGACAAATAATGCAACCTTTGACAGAGCCTGAACAGTTTCAGAATTATTTTTATCCTTTGAAACTGAGATTGCTTGTAATCCAGTCCTCCAGCACATGCCCAATTCCATCTGCTATAAGAGGAAGGTGACGCTCTCGGTGGTCACAACTCTTGCACACGTGGAATTCTGCTCAACTGCTTTCTCTACATGCCTTGTCTGCATCTGAATGAAGCATGTGTGTTATACATTTACTGTACATGCTCACACACCTTTTGTGGAGGCTCCACAATTGCAGACGGATAAAGCAGAGAGTGGATAAAAGAGAAATGCATTCAGGTTTGCATTTTAATGTGAATTTACCTAATTGCACTTTCCAAATCACTAGATGAACTGAAACTCAGTTAGCATTTGACCTTTATACTTCTCTAGGTTTTGCAATGGACTTCTCCAAATGTACAGGCATATTGGCTGGGGAATTCCGGGAATCACGTAACCTTTTTCTGTCCAAACACACATTGGAATGTGCGAACCCAAAGTCTAACCCTAGCCCTCTGAGAGATAAAAGGCAGCTCACCCCGTCTCTGATGGAAGCTTCCCCACCAACATCACTGAGGATTTTGCATAACTTAGAGGAAGCAAAGAGTCGTGCAATCCAGTGCCAGCATCTTAATTGCCATCACAATCCAAGTTTCATTTTAGGTAGCTGTAACTACACTGTAGATACTACATGCACCGCAGTTTTTGCACCCATTTGGAAGAGCTCTTTTGTTACCTGTGTGTGTTTAGACGATACAAGTCTACGGACAAGTCCTGTTGATTTTAATCTTGCTTTGTGCGGCCCTTTTTGAGCCAGCTAATAATAATAATTCTCATTTCCCCAGATGGCAGCGACTGGAGGGAGGCTGTCAATCAGAGAAGGCCCTTTGGTTGAAGTAGTTTGGGAAATTCGCATTGCAGGACTCCAAATCAGGAACAGGGCAGCTCTTGGCCATCGTGGATAGAAGTTGCCCTGCAAGAGTAGCTTTATCTAGCAAAACCCTTCAGATCCAGAAGAGTCGTAAGTGAGGAGGGTCCTAACAGGCCCAGATATGGAGTGGCTGTGCTAAAGGAGCAGTGTGGAAGCCGCCAATATTACACACTGACTCCGGCGTGTCCCATCTCCGTTTCAGAGATGGCCAGGGCCTGCTTGCTGATCTTGGTCTTGAAGATGTGTGGCATCCATACAGAGGAGGAAACAAGGAACTTCTGGGGCAGGGAAAGAAATGACTCGCAGGTCCCAAGTGAAGAGTGGAAGCAACGGCTGCCCAAAAGTATAATTATTGGTGTGCGGAAAGGAGGCACGCGGGCTCTGCTAGAGATGCTGAGTCTGCATCCCCAGGTGGCAGTCGCCCATTCTGAAGTGCATTTCTTCAATGTGGAGGAGAATTACCACAAAGGATTGGGATGGTACAGCCAGCAGATGCCAGTTTCACACCCCACTCAAATCACTGTGGAGAAAACACCAGGCTATTTCTCCTCCCTCAAGGCTCCAGGAAGGATCTATATGGTAGACAGCTCCATGAAACTCCTCCTGATTGTGCGGGACCCTGTGGAAAGGTTGGTGTCCGATTACACCCAGATCCTCCACAACCGCAAGGCTCAGCACAAGCCCTACAGAACTCTCGAGCAGCTCCTGTGGAGGGGCGAGGAACTAAACACCAGGTATAAGGCCATGCAGCGCAGCCTCTATGCGCTACACCTGGCTCGGTGGCTGGAGGTCTTTCCTAGGACACAGATCCACGTGGTGGATGGTGGCAGCCTCATCCGGGAACCTCTCTCAGAAATGCGCCATGTGGAGCGCTTCTTGGGACTGGAGCCTTACCTGAGCCCAGACAACTTTTACTTCAACCAGACGAAGGGCTTCTACTGCCTTCAGGCAAGGGGGCATCAGCGTTGCCTGGACCAATCCAAAGGGCGACCCCATCCCAGAGTAGATGAATTACTGCTGGAACAACTCTGCACTTACTTCAGTGAGCACAACGAGAACTTCTTTGCCATGGTGGGACAGACGTTCAACTGGTGCTGAGCCCTGCCTGGAAGCTTGCTGCTGATCAACTGGGATTGGATAATTAGGATGGAAGCTCCAGGTGTTTAGGATAAGTTCTTTCTCTGCTGGATGTTTGTGCGCCTTTCTTTCAAATAAGCTGCAAATTCAGTGAAACAAAATTTCAAGGAAGAAGCAACAGGAAGCAGGTGGTTGTTGAGGCACCTGGAAAAATTATGGGGGGATGGATGGACAACAGAACTACTGGCCATTTTTCCCTGACCCTACAGCAAGGCAATACCCTCTTTTGCTGTTATGCTGTAAGTCAGAGGCATTGAACCAAGGGCTGGAGTCAGTTTTCAGGCCAAAATGGGATTGAAACATCCCAAATGCCAGCATATTTCGACTAAAGCTTTTACTGTCAGAACTAAGTCTTTCAGTCTTTTAGACTGTGGAAACTATGTGAATCCAGGAAGCTACCCTGGACTCCACGAGAGTTGGGATGGGGTAAGGCCAGTTTGGGACTGGGTTCAGCCTGTGGAGCTGAAGTTCAAATGTGAGCGCCAGGAGATATTGTTGTGATATTGCTGGGGTTCTATTCCTAGCAATCGTGTGATAATCCAAAAGATGAAAAGATTCGTGTATAACTTCCCTGAATTCCCCCAACACAAGCAGTTTGCAGGAACTGAATCCCAAGCTTTCTCTGACATGCATTCAATTCTCAGCATCTGTAAAGTAAGAAATTCCATTTGTGTTCAACAGAGGGCAGCAATTCTCCATACAATAAAGTTTTCTAGTATTAATCAAAGATTAATACAGGATGACAGGCAGAATCGACTGTATTCTAACTGTAGGAGGATGCCTTAGAGTTGGCTCACCAGCTCAAGCAACTGTTCCTGGCAGCAGCAGCTCTCTGCCAGCAAAGATACCAGAGACCCTTTAACTAGGAAGGTGAACCCAGGACATTCTGCTCGATGGGCTTACCCTGAAGTAAAGCTTACAAGATCTGGCTGCAATTTTCTCTTGCAGCAGGAGAGAGAGGCACATTAGACCACCAGTATTTATATTAAGCAGCATGAAAGGAACTGGATGAAATTAGATTAGCTTTTGGGCAGCCTGTTTCAATAACAGCTGCTCCTGTGGAGTCCACGTCCAGGTTACCCCTTAATCTTGCCAACTTTCTTTTCAGGAAGCACCATCACGAAAGGGAGGGCAGAGGATCAGACCACTGAGGACTAGGTCAGTCTAGAGACACACCAGCTAAAGAGCTCAAGCCCAGCTAACATTGCACATGACTTCTTTGCTAAGGCAACTGCACCCAGATGCCTGCATTATCATCACATGCTACTGGTACATGTACGTATAAGCTTTTGACAGTAGTGTATAAAGCCCTGAACTTGGGGCCAGGATACCCGAGTATGCCTTCTCCTTTACCAAACTTCCTGGTCACTGAGAACCTCAGCAACCCAACTCCAATTTGCCTGGACAAAAGCCTTCAGCATAGGAGCTCCATCTCTGTGGAATTTCATGCCTCTGGGAGTGTGGCCAGCCACCAACATTGTCTTTTTCCTGGTGCTTCCAGAAAATATCTTTATTCCAGGAAGGCTTCCTGGTCTGGCCAGCTAGTTTTATTCATACGGCTTGAACTTTCCCTGATACCTGTCTTTGGAGGGCAGACAAAGCCTTCGGACCTAGTAAATAAATTCTCCATTGCCGATTCTTGCAGGTAAACACAGTTCTCCGTAGCAAGCTCATCATACAGACAGCGCACTCTGCACTGAAGAGTGCTGCTGACAGCTCCAGTCCCTTCGGTGCTGAGGCAAAGGAGGCCTCTTCTGCCTTCCAGTTGTTTATAAGTCCAAGTTGATCAGTGATCAGAGCAGTGACATCCTCAAGACTCCTAGCCAATGAACACCCTCTGCCACTGTAGCATCTGGCGCTACACTCTACTCCGGCAAGGAGCATGCTCATCGTCTTCCATGACTGTGCACAGCTGAAGCTGCTAGTCAAGGGACAGCGGGCAAACGCCCCCACTGAGGAAACCAGTCTGAACTCAATGGCTCATTTTGTTATCACATTCAAGCTGACATAAATCTGGACCTTATTAGTCAAACGGCTTTGTTAGCACTTGTCACCATGGAAGCATCACGATCTAAATTCCTAAGGGCTGCTGCACTGCACCCACCTTCCTTGCCTTACTTGGCAACCTGACAGCTGTTTTTCAAAACACATTTTTAAAACAAGATATATTAGACAGGAATACAGTGAACAGAAGTCAGAGCATTTCTGCAAATTATTCCTAGAGACTGCAACCATTAACTAACTCAGGGAGAGTACATACAGAGGCATGTCAACATGTCAAGAGCCTGAAAGATATTCAAGGAAATACAGGTTTACAATATATGGACATATGGGACTCTTATGCTACTATAATTTGTCAGCATTGTGCCTGAAATTGTACTGTTTGAGCAATCCTGAGTAATAATGGAAAGACCCTTAGTTCTCAAACCGTAATCTGATGTGTAACCAGCTTAAGAACTTCTGACATGCAGTCTAAGCACATACTTGCAAGGATGCCAATATAACCAGCAGGCTATATTGGTTAACATTTGCTAGTTTAGCATTTTGCTACCTTGTCTATTATAGCCCAGAGCAGCATTGGTAAAGCAGTAGGTAGCCGTGCCGATTCAAGAACAAGGCTAAATTCAGTGCAAAGTCAACCAGCCAGAGGCAGGTCACCAGCAGCAAAAGATGCTCTTGAGCACTTCCTGATAGTATAAATAATGGTGCAGTTTGCACAATTGCACTTCCCATGGTTTGTTAACTGCTCACTCACTTCCACTTTGCTAACAAGTTCCTGTGTTTTTCTCTAAGATACCTGAATCTGAAATCCTTGTTACTGATGGAGAAACAACCCAGATTTTACTAAAAACTACCCAGAGTTCCCGGTTCAGATATCATGCAGAACAACCTAAAAACAAGGCATTCCTAGCCTGTTTAGCAAAGCAAAATTGGATAAGTGGCCAGGGGCCAAAACGCTCACTCCCAGACAACCCATGGTAAACAAACTGGGTTATTCAAGTGAGCAATTTGAGTAAGTGCTGCAACTTTCTATGACAACCATCCCATTTTCATGTTCATGCAGTACAGGGTTCATTAGAAGGGCTTTAGTAGGTTAAAACAATTGCGTAAGAATTTATCATAACTTTATATATGATTCTGCATTAAATGCTGGACACGGATCACCTCATAGAGCTCACACAATGGCCCATATCAATCAGCAGGCACAAGAAAACAAAGTTAACCATAAACATGGCCACATTAAAGTCTAACATTTGTGAAGTTTATTTTAAAATTCTCAATAGGATTTTAGGGCACCAGCCTTTTGCTGCACTGACCTTTTAACACCAGAATGACACACAAGAACAAGTTTTGTAAAAAATGGTTTTATCAGTTCCATTTTTGTATAAAACACATGGGAGAAACCTAGCCAATCAACACACAAATTGCTGCCACATAACAAGGTACTTTTTCCCCAAACTTTGAATCTAAAGAACATACAAATGTTTTAAGTCTACAGTCAATTGTCTATGCTCTTCCATTTAACTATTTCTTTTAAAAAATTCCACATATCCCCATATTTCTTCTGTCCCAGTTACAGTACAATGACAGGGAGGAAGAGGGCTCTTCATAACTCCTCTCTATGCAGTTTTCTGCTGTCCCTTCTTTCCAATCAGAGACTTGTGGATGTGAGGAATTACACCTGCAAAGAGAATAGTAGATTAGAAATGGAGTATGCACTGTAATACTGAAATATAATAGCAAGAAATAATTTTTACTTTCATTTAAAAAGCCTACACAAATATACTTTAGTCCAAAGAAATGCATCAGAGACTTTTAAAAATTTCCCTTCTTTGGGTTTTAACTGAATGCTTTTTGTCAATGCATGTCACAAATGATTTAGAGAGTTGTTACACTGATAAGATAATGCATCTGGTATTATAAATCACAGTTGGAAGACTACAGTCTTAAAGTGAATTAAAATGCATTAAATAAATAAATATACGAGATTCTTTAAGAAACTCCTTATAAATACATCAGAATGAAAACTGAGAGGTTGCCATTATATTTAATGGCTTAACATTAAATATAATTTTAATGTTATGCTAAACATTATACTTGGGTTTAGTTTGCTCTAAATTCCTTTTAGTCTAACTCCTTTTTAAAACCATCCAGACTGGCAGCCGTCAGCACTTCCCAGGGCAGCGAATTCCACCGTTTGACTCTCTGCGGTGGGAAGGAGGACTTCCTTTTCTCTGTCCTGAACCTCCCACCAACCCGCTTCATGGGATCCACCCGGGTACAAGCGTTCTGGGAGAGAGAGAAATGTCTCCCTCCCTCCTTTCCCCACACCAAGCATTATTTTAAGCACCTCCATCTCATCTCCCCCGACTCGCCCTTTGTCTGAGCGGAACAGTCCCAGTTGTCGTAGCCACTCCTCCCGTGGGACCTGCTCCAGCCCCGATCATTTTGTGGCCCTTCTCTGTACCTTTTCCAACTCGGCAGCATCCTTTTTCAGGTAAGGCAACCAGAACTGAACACAATATTCTAAGTGTGGTCGCACCAAAGATCAGTGAAATGGAAGTAAGATTTTAGCGGTTCTATTTTCTATGCCATTTCTAACGATGCCTAACATGGACTTTGCCTTCTTCACAGAAGCTGAGCGATGAGCTGACATTTTAACTGGGCTGTCCACCACTAGCTTAAGATCTTTTTCTTGCTCAGTTGCTGCTAGTTCAGATCTCAGTTGGGATTGCCTCAACATGCATTGACCCATCTGCACCTGCTTATAATGAACTACATTGGCCATTTTGGTGGCCATTCTCACAGCTTTGGAGCACCTCACAAACCCTTTGTTTTAACCACCCCCAGAAGCTGAGTGTCCTCAGCAAACTCAGTGCTTACGCCTAATACAGAATCCTGTGGACTCCACTGGTGACCTTTCTCCACTGGAAAAAATGGGCATTTATCCCCAGCCTCTG